CCCACCGCTCCCCCACCTCTCCCCCCTCATCCCGGCGCGGAGCCGCGGCTCGTCCCTCCCCGCCCCCACCCCCACCCCGACCCCGCCCACCGGGACCCTCCCCCCCAGGTGGAGGACGCGCTCACCTACCTGGACCAGGTGAAGATCCGCTTTGGCAGTGACCCCGCCACCTACAACGGCTTCCTGGAGATCATGAAGGAGTTCAAGAGCCAGAGGTGGGGGCGGCCCTCCCCGCCCGGGCGTCCCCCGAGGCCTGGCAGCCCCCGGCCAGTGGCCTTGCACCGGTGTGGGAACCTCCCAGAGCCTCGGCTCCTTCTAGAGAGAAGGCTGGGATTGGGGAGCACCCACCCCACCCCGTGGAGCCGCAGAGATTCCTGGAAGGAGGGCGGGGGTGGGGGAGTCGGGGAAAGCGCAGGCAGCACGGTCAGATCTTGCCTTGAGGTAAGATGCTGATTGTTAAGTAAGTGTAAAGGTTTAGGGGATTCATTTTGGTTTTTCTCAAGCTCTGCCCTCGGAGGTTATTTATCTTGAAGGTTGAGTTTTTTGGCACCCTCTCCCCTTAAATCCTGTCTCCAAGACCCTCTCCCTTGCCGGGTGGGGAAGTGAAGTGCGCAAAACGCTTAGTAAGGGAGCTGGCACACAGAGCGTGGAGAACACAGGAGCTGGTGTGCAGCGCAGACTCGAAAAGGGGTGGAGGCAAGCCGGAGGCTCTCTGACCGGCCCTTGTTTTATGGGAAACTCAAGCGGGTTGGGAGGGACTGGGGACCCTTTGCGGCAGAGGTGGGACTGGAACTCCAACCCTCTGACTCTTGGTTCTCCTGGGTCACACCTGCCATGCTGCCCTCGCAGAAGCATGGTGGGGCTAGCCTGGTTTTGGACCTGAGTGCAGCCCCAAGGCCGGGGAAGACCCTGCCCCCGGCACCTTCCCCCAAGTTTCCCAGCTGTGCAGAGCCCTCAGTGTTTGTGCCTTGAAGTCAGTTGCTCAGTTCAGCACCTGTGTCATAGTCAGTCCCCAGTTCATTCAGAAGGAGGGCACGCACCCCTTTGCTTCGCTGGCTTTGGCTTCCTGGTCGCCCTTCTTGACAGTCTCAGACCCTCGCACACATGCTGGGAGTGTTCTGGGGAGCCAAGAAGTGGGCGTATTCTCAGGCTGTCGTTCAGGGAGCATAGGGCATTGGCTGCTGGTGCTATCACATGGGTCACACTCCAGGCAGCCTCACTGTCAGTGGAGAAGCTTGGTGCTGGCAGCTTCAGGAATCGGGTAGATTTCCCTGTAATCTGTACTCCCAAAACCTGTGTGCCCACTCATGGTTCTCTTTCTTCCAGCATCGATACTCCTGGCGTCATCAGACGTGTCTCTCAGCTGTTCCACGAACACCCTGACCTCATCGTGGGATTCAATGCCTTCCTCCCCCTTGGATATAGAATTGACATTCCCAAGAATGGCAAGTTGAACATACAGGCACCTCTGGCGAGCCAGGTACACCTCTCTTGCATTGTTGCTGGAAAGCCACTCGCACCCGTTCTTTTCTAGACATGCTAATTGTGTCTGGCACACATGAAAATAAAGCGAGTACCTGGACAGGCAGCCTCTGCTTCTGAGTTGGTCTGTTTGGAAGATCTGAATCCAGGGTGGATGTCAGGGACGCATCCTCCAAACACAGACTTTCGTGTTGAGTCAGAACAACCCTTGGGCAGGCTCTGGCCCAAGGTATCCCTGTGTGCGGGGCTGGCAGGCTTGCGCTTGGATGTGATCTGGGCTTGTTTGACCCGACCATCTTGGTGGCACCTGGGAAAACTGGTGGCTGGGAGGTGTAGCCAGCCTAGTGTTGTTGCTGCTCTTCATTGACCGTTGACAGGGCAGTGGCACAGCCAGGTGCACAGCATCGGTTCTTGGAGCTGGGTTCCTCCCCTCCTGGCTCTGCAGTCTCTTCTTGCTTTTGCTTACAAGCGCCTCTAAGGAGGAGAAAGCCCATCTGAGCATTCCTTTTGCAAGGTGACCATGGTCTTTTTCTCCCCGTCAGCACTGTTGCCGTTCAAAGCATCGTTCTTTGTTGGGGCTGCCTGGTGCATTGTGGGGCATTTAGTCGCATTCCTGGCCTCCATCCACTAGACCGTCACCTGCTCATGATAGCCAGAAACATCTCAGGTGTTGCTAAGTGTCTCCTGGGGCACAGCACCCCTGTTAACATGGGTACAAGGGAGCAGCTCTCCCATAGCCTCTGTCCTGCCGCGAGTGTCGACCGGGAACGGGAGCCTTGGGTAGATGGGATTGGGAGATCGCAGAGTGTCAGTCAACAGGAAGTCAGGTTTGGAGGGAACTGCACATGTGAACGTGGTGGTGCCTGGTTCCTCCGAGGTTGGCTCACGTGTAAACGCTACCCTTCCTCCTGGGCGGCATTCCACTGGCAGCGTGTTGTCTCCTTAAAGCCGCGGAGCGTGCCTGTTTGCAAAGGGAGCTTGTCGACGTGTGGTCGTTGAATACCACAGCGTGTCCATGTTGGGTTCACAGATGCAGCCCTGGGATCCAGATGTAGGGTGTGTGCCTTGGGCCCCAAAGCCGTAGTGAGATTTGTCTCCGCAAGAGTCATGTGGGGAAAACCAAGCTCACCTGTGGAGGTGGTGTCTGGAAGAGGTCTGCGTGGAGTCTGAATGTTGTGCAAACTCCAGTGTCATTACTGTTGCTTCTGAGAGAGCAGATCGGAGGGTGTGAGTGGTGCCTGTGTGTGGAAGTTGCTGGCCGAGGGGCATCTCCACACTCAGGGCTGGGTCTCAACAGGTGTCCACGCTGTGGTCGTTGAAGTCTGCGCTTCCTTACAAGAGCCACAGACCCTGTTCCCAGTGCCATGGAGGACTAGCAGTCTTGTTTCCCCCGGCTGGCTCGGAATGGTACCAAACGCGAGGGTCCACTGATGGGAAGGCTTGACAGGGGCTTCATGGAACAGCTACTCAGCAGGGCTTCCCATCTTGCTGGGCAGCCAGGGCCCCACACTTGGTTGCCTTAGTCGTTGCTGACTGGCCTGCATCTCTGCATCTAGACTGTTGGGTGCATGGAGTCCAGGCAGGCAAGCACAAGGTATCCTTGGCGAGGCCGCAGCAGCCTGGAGACCTCACAGGACCCCATGTACAAGTGCCCAGTGATTCTCTCCTTACTGGTCTTCCAGCTTCCCTGTGTTGAAGTACAGTTGTCTTTTTCCTCCTTTTCTGTTGTATCACAAAGCCTGCCGACTGTAGGCACAAAGGAGTGGCTCTCGGGAGCTGAGGAGGGATTCGAAGCGAGTCCCAGCCTCGGGCCTGAGTATGGGTGTCTCACCCAGCATTGGTGCCCTTTGGGCCGGTTAGTCCTCTGGTGGACTACCCCGTGCACAAGGGTGTTGAGCAGCACCCCCGGCCCCACCCACCAGATGCCAGGAGCACCCTTCCCCAGATGCGACAGCCAAGTGTCCGGGTAGCAGAATCCCCCGTTGAGAAGGTTTTGTGGCTGGGGTGGAGTCTGGAGGGCCACGTCGTGGGGTGTTCCTGGTGGGCTGTGAATGAGAGGGTGTGCTTGAGGGACAGCCAGGGGCCACTTGGGGTCAGGAGGTGGAACGGAGAAGTGGGAGAGCCAGAGTAGTGGGAGCCAGGGCAGGGTTCCAGAAGACACCTCTGCTGTTGCACAAGGACTGGACTGAGGGGCTGAGAGACCGCTGGGAGGCCAGGGAGCAGCCTGGGGTGAACTGGGCAGAGTGGACGATGATGAAGACGGGGCCCCGTGTGGGGCAGGGGAGACAGTGATGCGGATGGGGGGTCCTGGGTGGGCAGCGGTGGCAGTGATGTAGTCGGGGTGTGTGGTCAGCGAGAGGGGCACAGGTGACTTCAGGGTGCCTGACTGGCAGCAGAGATGGCTCCTGCTGAGCTGGTCAGGTCCGGGGTGGGGCGGCCCTGCACTGGGTGACCTTGAGGCCTCGCTTACAAATCCACGGGAGATGGATTGTTGGCCACAGCTCATGGGCTCCCCGTGTGTGTGGCATTTCCGACCTGGCCCAGAGAGGCCCCCAGAGCGGGAGGAGGGAGAGTGGCAGGAAGGAAGGCGGGAGGGAGAGAGGGCAGCAGGGAAAGGAAGATGGGGCTTGCCCTGAAAGGTTAGTGCAGGGCTGGCGAATCGTGCCCTGTGGGCCAGAGCCAGCTTGGCTTTGTGTGGTTGGTCATTTTTGCATTTCCAAAGGATTGCATTTAAAAACTGTTTCTAATTGTGATAACATTCATATGGCATAAAATTCATCATCATGACAATTTTAAGTTGATTTCAATATAGTCACAGTATTGTGCAAGCCTCACCACTAATTCCAGAACAGTTTCATCACCCCGGAATCAAACCCTGTACCTTCTCATTCTCCCCACCCCCAGATCCTTACAGCCATGCATCTGACTTCTGTCTCTGGATTTGCCTGTTCTGGACATTTCTGTCAGTGGAGTCGCCCACGCTGTGGCCTTCCATGTCTGGCATTGTGTGTTTGAGGCTCATCCTCCTTGTGGCCTGTGTCAGAGCCTCCCTGCTTCCATGGCTGAGTCTCGTTCCGTGTGTGGAGGGACCCACTGTGTCTCTGCCTCACCTGCTGGTGGCTGTGGTGCTTCCACCTTTTGGCTGTTGTTAACAGTCCTGCCACAAACACCCGTGTTCCTGGTTTGAACTCTGGTTTTGAGTTCTTTGCGGGTAGGCCCAGGGGTGGAATGACTGGTTCAGAAGGGGAGTCTGTGGTGAACTTGAGGGCAATGCCAGGCTCGTGCTGCCTGCACCACCATCGCCTGGCCTTTTGCCGAGCCCTGGCTGGAGCATGGTTGTCTGCTTGTTGCGGTGGCTCCCTTCAGGGGCCGGCAGGGTGGGGCTCACAGCGCCTCGCGGTGGAGCCCACAGCCCTCTGAAGCAAGCCCGCACTCTGAGGCTTGCTTCCCTGCATCCCACCTGTCCCCTTCCAGTCCGCTGTCACACCTGTGCGCCTGGAGGAGCAGGGGTGCCAACCCCCTTGAGCTTGACAGAGAGGATCGGCAGGAACATGCCAAGAGAGAGGCTTCGCACCGCTCCACAGGCCGGGGAAGTGGTGCTGAGGCCGGGACGACCTGTCCCTTGAACCTGCTGCCTCCACCCAGGCGCGCTGGGGCCGTCTGTGTGCCCTCCTCTGGGCAGGACTGGGTCTGCCAGCATTCCCGTGTTGAAGCCCTGACCCCCAGGACCCTGGATTGTGACTGTCTGTGGAGGCAGGGCCTTTAAACAGGTAGCCAGGGTGAGATGAGCCATCAGGATGGGCCCTCTTCCGTTCAGCTGTGTCCTTACAAGAGGAGGAGATTGGACACAGCAGGGCGGTGCAGGCATAGAGACAGCCAGCCGTGTGGGGACGTCGCAAGAAGGTGCTGTCTGCCAGCCAAGGCATGAGGCCACAGAGGAGGGCGCACTGTGAGTTTAGATGCCCTGCCTCCAGAACTGAGAACACCTGCCTCTGTGGTTCACATCTGGGGAACCGTGTCGTGGCAGCTTGGGCCCCCTGACGACCCACCTGGATGATGGTCTTGAGCCCAGCAGAGGTGCCTGTCTTGATGCCCGCTCAGCTGTGTGGGCAGTGTGTGCCCGGCCTGCCCCATCCTCGTGCTTCCTCTGTCAGTAATTGGTGCCAGGCATGATGCTGGGCAACTCAGGGCAATGGAAACAGTAGAGAAGAACATCTGTCCCTTCATCCATTCACCTGATCAGCCCCACAGTGAAGGAGCCGCTCTGTTCCACGTGCCGTTCCAGCCCTGGACAGAAGGAAACCCCTTGCGGAGCTTGCCGTTGATCAGGGCAGACAGACAAAAGGTGTGTTATGTGCAGGGAGGCGACAGGTGCCACGGGCAAAGCAAGATGCTTCCAGAAGCCTCACCGAGCAGGTTGCCAAGTGTGGACCTTGCCTGTGCTGGGGAGACCCTGGCCTGCTTGAGAGCCAGCATGACTCTGACAGCGGCATTCGGTGTCGGGAGAGAGAGGCTTTTGTTTTCTATTTTATTGGTATCTACAGAAAAATGCACAGAGAAAGGGCTTGCGTGGTGTGGTCAGGCCTTTCTCCCCTCTCAGGTGATGGGTTTGTCCCCATTCTGATTGGCCTGTGGCTCAGTATTGCGAGTCCCATGTCCTGGGAGTCCCTGAAATCCAAAGCAGCTGGATGGGATGGCCTCAACCTCCAGGGTCCCCACATTATGAATCTTGACTTGCCCGTCGCTGTGGCGGCAGGTGGTTTCACACCTGAAAATGGTCTTGCTAGCCGGGCTCGGTGGCTTAGCCTGTAATCCTGTGTTTTGGGAGGCTGAGGTGAGTGGATTACCTGAGCCCACGGGTTCAAGACCCACCTGGGGAACTTGGCGAGACCTCATCTCTACGATTAAAAAAAAAAATCAGCTGGGCATGGTAGCGCGTGCCTGTAATTCTGGCTACTCGGAAGGCTGAGGGGGAAGGATCGCCAGAGCCCAGTGGGTCAAGGCTGCAGTGGCTGGAAGCGGCCACTGCACTCCAGTCTGGGCAACTGAGTGAGACCCCAACTAAAAAAAAAAAAATGATCTTGCTAAAGTGGGCTGGCAGAAGGTGTGGGGACTTCTGTCATACACAGCCAGCACTTTACTCTGCAAAGGATTAAGCATTCACATTTTGTAAATTTCTCCTTAATGCTAATTTTACAAAATGTAAAGTGCTTGCCAAACTCACATGTTCTGGGCGCAGAGGCTCACGCCTGGAGCCCCAGCTAATCAAGCAGCTGAGCCAGGAGGATCCCTTGAGCCCTGGTCAAGGCTAACCTGGGCAACATAGTGAGACCCCATCTCTACAAGGATAAAAAACAGCTACATGTGGTGTGTCTATAATACCAGCTATTTGGAAGGCTGAGATTGGAGGATCACATGAGCACAGGAGTTCGAAGCTGCAGTGAGCTATGATCATACCATTGCACTCCAGTCTGGATGACAGAGCAAGACCCTATCTCAAAGTAACCAGTTTCTGGTTGATACTATTATTATTGTTATTATTTATTTATTTATTTATTTATTTTAGAGTTGGAGTCTCACTCTGTCGCCCAGGCTGGAGTGCATTGGCACACTCACAGCTACCCCAGTGTTGATCTGCTGGGCTCAAGTGATCCTTCCGCCTCAGTCTTCTAAGTAGTCAGAACTATAGGCACGCACTACCATGCCCTGCTAATTTTTGATTTATCGTAGAGACATGGTCTCGCCAGGTTGCCTGAGCTGGTCTTGAACTGCAGGCTCAGGCAATCCACTCGCCTCGGCCTCCCGAAGTGCTGGGATTATAGGTTGAGCCACCGAGCCCAGCCTGATACTATTATAATTATTATAATTATTTAAAAATATCTGCAGCTTGGACAGCACAGTAAGACTCCATCTCTACAAAAACTCAAAATAAAAAATTAACTGGGCATGGCAGCACCAACCTATAACCCCGGCTACTCGGGAGGCTGAGGCAGGAGGATCACTTGAGCCTAGGAGTTCGAGGCTGTGGTGAGCCATGATTACACCACTGCACTTCAGCCTGGGCAACAGTGGGATCCTGCTTCTAAAATTAAACAATATAGCTGGGCATAGTAGTGCGCGCCTGTAGTTCCGGCTACTCGGAAGGCTGAGGCGGAAGGATCGCCGGAGCCCGGCAGGGCGAGGCTGCGGTGGCCGGGAGCGGCCGCTGCACTCCAGTCTGGGCAACAGAGTGAGACTCCAACTCAAAAAAATTAAAATTAAGATTAAATTAAGTTAATAAATAAATGAGTGAATAAACTTGTATATTCTCTGACTAGACGGGGGAGGACCTGGTGACTGAGCTAATGAGACTCACTCGGGAAGGCGCAGATGCCGACAGGCCAAGGGAGGAGCCATTGGCCTGTGCGTGTGTGCCCTGCTCCGCTTGCCTCCAGCCCAGAGCGACCTTTCTCTGAGTCTAGTAAAACCTGACTCTGTGCTGGGTTTCGCCTGCCCTTGGAGAGACAGTGGCTGGGCTGGTGTTTCTCACAGTCTGTTCCCGTGTTGGCTCAGCAGTAACTCAGTGTTATCTTGTTGTCAGGAGAATTCACACAGCCATGGTGACTGTGCAGAGGACTTCAAGCAACAGGGGCCGTACAAGGAAGACAAGCCCCAGGTGGCCTTGGAGTCAGACTCTGTGGAGTTCAACAATGCCATCAGCTACGTGAACAAGATCAAGACCCGCTTCCTAGACCACCCGGAGATCTACAGGTCATTCCTGGAGATTCTGCACACGTACCAGGTAGGAGCATACGGAGCACACTGTTTGCGAGTTTTTTGGCGTCATCAGTATCGGGCTCTGAAGATACTTAGATTCTCTTGTCTGAATTCATGAGATCTTGTAAAAGTCTAAGTAATGCTGGTTTTTGCATTCATTTTGTTTGTTTGTTTGTTTGTTTGAGTCAGTCTCTTTCTGTTGCCCAGGCTGGAGTACAGTGGCATGATCATGGCATACCACAGCCTCAGCCTGCGGGGCTCAGGCGATCCTTCTGCCTCAGCCTCCAGAGTAGCTGGGACAACAGGCGCCACCATGCCTGGCTAATTTAAGTTTTGTTTTTTTTCACTCTGGTAAAATAATGGATACCAAAAAATTTACTATCTTAGCCACTTTAAGTGCACAGTTCTTGGTAATCACATTCACATTGTTGTACAACCATCACCACCATCATCGCCAGAACTCCTCATCTTGTAAACTTGAAACTCTGCCTGGTTAGGCACTCACTCCCCATCCCCTCCCCAGCCCTGGAACCCACCATCTACTTTTTGTCTGTATGAATGTGACGACTCTGGGACCTCATGTGCGTGGAATCGGACAGCATTTGACCTTTTGTGACGGGCTTATTTCACTCGGCATGATGTCCTCCAGGTCCTTCCGTGATGGTGCAGTGTCAGCCCTCCATTCCTTTTAAGACTGAGCAACACTCTGTTGTGTGGCTGGACCACATGTGTCTGCCTGTGCAACCGTGGATGTTGTGCAAATACCTTTAGGAATTCTCTTAAGTGTTGATTCTGATTTGTTCCTTGATGGACCTCAGTGCCCAAGAAGTACTAGGAAGCACACGTTAGGGGAATTCAGAAAGAACCTAAAAAGACCATCATCTTTCTGTAAGACAACTTGGTTACTGTTTAGACAGCATAGTCAGTCTTTACTTTTAGTGATTACAACTGGGCCTGGTGCCAGGAGCCAGGGCAACAGGAATGACTGTGGCTGCTTAGTGCTTCAGTCCAGTGTGGGAAGAAACTAGACAGATTATGATGCAAAAGAAGGGGTGTGCGCAGGAGAGAGGGTTTGGATTCATGTTACCAGCCCGTCAGGGATCAGGGGGGTAGCCAGATTGAGCCTCACCAGGAACAGCCTGTGCAGAGGTCCTGAGCCAGAACAGAAACTATCATCAGGGTGTCTTCAGGGACCTGCAGGTGGCTGATAGTAAGGGATGCCTGTGTCATGTGTGGGGTGCAGATGTCCTCCTTACCTAGACATGGAGTTTCCAAAACTTCTAATTTGTGTAAGTGGCAGAGACGTCTTTTAAAAATAGAATCTAGCCCGTGAATTTGAGACCAGCCTGGGCAACTTGGCAAGACTTTGTCTCTACAATAAATAAAAAATTAGCCAGTCATGGTAATGCGTGCCTGTAGTTCCAGCTGCTTGGAAGGCTGAGGCGTAAGGATCGCCAGAGCCCAGCAGGTCGATGCTGGGTTGGCCGTGAGTGTGCCACTGCACTCCAGCCTGGGTGACAGAGTGAGACTCCAACTCTAAATAAGTGAATGAATGAATGAATGAATGAATGAATGAATCTGTTCAACCTTGAGATAGAGAAATGGGATTCTTTTTTTTTTTTGAGTTGGAGTCTCACTCTGTCGCCCAGACTGGAGTGCAGT